TCTGTGCTCCCACTGTGTGTCACACTACCTGCGTATGGCGTGTGCCTGGGCCCGGTGTCCCCCTCTGCCTAAGCTACTGTGCTCAGGCCCTGGCTGCTGCTCTCTGCTGGCTTGAGCTGGCAGGAGGTTTGCACAGAGGTTTTTGTATTGGGCACAGCAGGCTTCTGATCACTGTGGGCTTCACACAGTGATACCGGGCCGTGTCCTCAGCTCTCAGGCTGGTCATCTGCAGGTACAGTGTGCTGGTGGAGTCGTCTCTGGAGATGGTGAATCACCCCTTCACCGCAGCACTGTAGTATGTGGTGAGGTTAGCAGTAGCAGCATTTATACTTGCGACCCACTCCAGCCCCTTCTCAGGAGCCTGTCGGACCCAGTTCATGTAGGAGCTGCTGAAGGTGAACCCGGAGGCTTTGCAGGAGAGGCGCAGACAGTCTCCAGGCTTCCTCGCATCTCCTCCAGACTCCAGCAGCTGCACCTGGGACTGGGCACCTGGGGAGAAAAAAGCATGTTTCAGGATCCTGTCTCTTCCAGCCTCTGCCAAAGCCCACGGAGCCGGGGGGCCACTCTCTGCAGATTTTCCATTGCCTTTGAATACGGTGAGGATTATTATTTGTTGTTCCCTGGGGGTGTGCAGGGATGTGTGGGGTGTGGCAGGGGCCTGGGGACTCACCTGACAGGGCAATGAGGAGAAAGAGGAGAGATCCCCAGGACAGCATGGTGCTGGGCTGCAGGGATGGCACAGACCTGCTCACCCCCTGCTCCCCCCAACCTTGCAGGACCAGAGGGTGTCGGCATTTATGAGGCCTCTGCAGCACTGGATTTGCATCTCTCTGCTCTCATAGAGCCCCGCTCTACTCCAGCCCTGCAGCCCCCTCCCTGGGAGGAGGAGGGTCCAGTGCAATGGAGGGCTGGGCCAGAGGGGCTGAATGCGAGTTCTGCATGTGGGGTCCTGTCTGTGTGGTCTCCACAAAGATACTTAGTGTTTTTAAGATGAATCCTTCCTGCTCCCACCCCTTTGTCTCAGCCCACTCTGTGTCGCTGTTCAACGTGTTTGGGAGCTTTGGGGCTGAGGGTTGTCCCTCACTTGGGTGTCTGCAGGAGCAGTGAATTAAGCCAGGGCTTGCATTGCTGGCCCAGGAGTGCAGGTTTAGGCAGTGGGGACCATGCTCCCAGGTACCCTGAGCCCCCTGCCCTGCATTGATGACCACTGTGGTGTGAGTGTTGTCCTGGGGCTTGGTGTTACGTAGGCTGGATGCGACCAGTGGCCCACCTAACACAGGCTCCATCTCTGACCCCGGCAAGTCCCAGAGGCTTCCACCAGTGCTGTGGGAATGATCCTTCAAGTCTCACCATTGTGGGAGAGGTTTTGTGGGGAAGGCACTGGACAGGCCCCAGTCAGCACTGGTTTGGTTCTTTGCTTCTCCCCTTTTGGGGCACCCTGAACTATGGTGCTGGAGCCCAGCCTGTGCCTCTTGGCATTCACCCATCACTCCCCCCAGACCCACTTTCCTGTTCTCCCACTTGGCAGTTTTCTCCCTGGCCTCCCCCAGGCTTGTGACATGATGACATGCTGCAGTGATGGGCTCAGGTGTGGCCCTAGATAACTCTGTCCCAATCTGTGGACGTGCAGAGCAGTGCTGGGGAGAGCAGCGGTTTCTTACTAGGAGAGTCTGGCCTTTTGGTGTGTGGCCAGAGACGTGGTGTGCAGGCCGGTGCACGGAGCAGGATCTTTGGAGTCGCTTGGGAGGCTGCGGTCCCCAACCTCTGCATGAGGCTGGGAGCTCGGTGCAGGAGGTGCTGCATGGAGGGTGAGAGATCCTGGGAGCTGCTTGAGATGGCTCAGGACTACAGCAGCTGGCACGGGGAAGCAGCTCAGTGTAGATGAAGCTGCCCAGAGGGTCCAGGAGCAGACGCAGTACCGGTGCTGCACAAGGCTGCCCGGGCCTCCAACCCTTAGCACAAGGTGAAGTGCCCACTACACAGAGTGGTGTACGTGGCCCTAAGCCAGGCCGGTGGCAGCAGAGTTGGGCAGCAGGAAAGCCTGGCAGGGAACAGAGCTCGACCTGCAGAATGGGAGGCAACCCTGCGGGCCTGTGGAGTGGTAAGTAACCCTGGAGAGAGGGTCCCCTCAGGAGAGGGACCCCCAGGGTTGTGAAGGGACACCGCGTGGGCCCCTCCTGGGTGACAGAGGGGTCTTAGGAGTTTTGGGGGTCTGCCTCTCCTTTTCTTTCCCCCCACCTCCTTTCCTGTAGTGGTCCCTTGGGAATGGGGCCCTGCCCTGGAGAGCACCTGGGGAGTCTAAGGATTGCTTCTTATATTTGTAGACTGTGCCTTAAAGTTTATGTGAATAAGTTGAAGTTATAGTCTGTATATTAATAGAGTTATAAGGTTGCCCCATCAATAGCCTTTCTTCTGGGTTGTTCTGTTGTTTATTTGTATTTTTTAAATAATTATTGGGTGTATATAAATGGTATAGGAGATATTGTTTTTTTAATTTATATATAAATACGTATATATATAATTTATGTCCTTACCCTTTAATGGTTTTATTGCAATAATACATTTGTATATAGTTCAGTAATTGAGTGACTGGGCCTGACACTATAGGGGACAAAGGCAGCCACTGGGCTGCTGTGTTCCTCCACAGCACACTGCCCTGCCAATAATTCCCTCAATTGGAGAGGGGAATACACCCCGTGTAGACCTGGGCTACACTTAGCTGAATATAATGCCAGTTGAAATGTTTCTTGGAAATTCAGGACTTGGACTATCGTGCTGGTCCCCCTTTGGGCAGGCTGGGCTGGACATTGCACAAGGGCCCAAGGGATTGAGGAGCCCCACTGCCACGGCCGTTCACAGGGATGAGGTTCCCAAACACCCTATGATGGGGCTTCTCTGAGGTATGTACTGTTTTATAGCGACTGTCTGACACATGCCTGGTGAAGCTCTTAGGCTTTTGCTCCGTGCAGTGTTACAGGTTCATCTACAGCAAGCCCTCAGGTGGCCAAGGCTGATCCTGTCCGAGTTTTCCCATGTGTGGGGGGTTTCTAGGTGGAAACTTCCCTGTCTGAGTTCCAATTCAGCTACATTAGAAAGACCAGGCTTCCCCTTATTGTGCAGCCCCTGCTCTGCTCTGTGTCACTGTGTCGCTGGCACAGTAATACGTGGCCGTGTCTGCGGCTGTCAGGGAGCGCAGCTGTAGGGAGAACTGGTTCTTGGAAGTGTCCCTGGAAATGGTGATGCAGCTCTGGTGGGATGGATTGTAGCTTGTGCCACCAGTGTAGCTAATGTACCCCATCCACTCCAGCCCTTTCCCAGGAGGCTGCCGTATCCAGCTCCAACTGTTATTGCTGATGGAGTAACCTGTGACAGTGTAGGTCAGGGTGAGGGTCTCTGCAGGCTTCATCACCCCTGGGCCAGACTCAACCAGCTGCACAGCAGAGAGGACAGCTAAACGAAAAAGAAAGTAGGTAAAAAATAAGGTCCAAGGAGAAACCCCAGAGCCCTGGATTCCCCTGAACCTTCCTCATAACCTACATGGGGGAGTAGAGAGAAGGAACAGGAATAGGAATAAGGAGTTCATTGCTGCTGCCCTATAACAAGGGAGACTCAGCAGGCAACAAGGGGCTGGGTACAGACTGAGGCTCCTGGGTACAGGATCTCTATTTAACCAGTAGCCCTGGCCAGGGATTTGCATGCTGCTCCCAGGAGGGTATAAGCAGCCCCAGGCTGGGAGCGCTCAGCACAGGACCCTGCTCTCTCTGCATGGGGCTCAGTCTCTGGCACAGGGGAGACCCTGGGGTCAGCACCGCCAGAGGGGAAGGGCTAATAAACACTTGGCATTAAACTGGGCAAATGATGGAAATAGGGGGAAATGCAGCATACAAAATCTTCCTGTCTTCACATTCACAATTGGTCCCTTGTGATTCATTCTTTATGGCCATCTCTGCCAGTGGTGCTCAGCATTTTTGGCGTCGAGGCTGGATGGCCAGTGCAGTGGACCTGATTCTGTGCCCAGGGCAGGGGAAGTGGGCCTGATCCCACTTGGCATTGTCTCCATGGGATTTGGGGTTCAGCACAGCAATGGGGGTGTTTTCCCCATACCCGTGTGCTGCAGGGTTTGTGTCTCCTGGGAGTGCAGAGCCGGGAGCTCAGCAGTGCAGCGCTGCAGTGACTAGCGCTCTGCTCTGGGTGCTCAGGGGTCTCCACCCCTCACCCCTGCCTCGGGGAGTTCATGCTAGAGTGACTGTGCAGGCCTGGCTCTGTGCTGTGGCAGGGGCCAGCCATGGTCTGGGAAATGGCCCTTGTGGGGAAAAGGGCAGGTGGGGAGTTTAGGAGCCTGGCAATCAAACTGGGGCTGTATGGTGAGAGAGGGTCTGTGCCTGCCGGTGCACTGGCCTCTCTGTGTGGGGGTGCCCTGTCGTGGGGGGGCGTGTGCTGCCCCTGGTGGCTGAATCTCCCCATCTCAGGCTGAGCCTCTCCAGAGCTAGGCTAAGGGGCAGCAACGTCCATGGTACTGTCTCCCCCTGTGCCAGGGAGCCCTTGCCCCAGGTGGAGCAGGAAGGAGGCAGGTTGCAGGATACTGAGGGTCCATGAACATCCTTGCGCAGGCCCTGCTGAGCTGGGGGAAGCTCTCTTCCTTGGGGAGTGGGGTCTCTGCAGCTGTGGGGAGCTCATTTGCAGGGGCTTGGCTGCTGTGACTGTCTCCAGAGTTGAGACACGGCTCTGGAGAGACCAAGGGGACAACTTCCACCATCCTATGGGTAAATGTGACTCATCCTTCCATGCTGTGGTGGGGAGTAGCCAGGTCAGAGCACAGCATGCTGTAAGGGGTTAAAGAGGCCTAACTGCAGTCAGCAGTTTATCAGTCCCAACTGCTCACACAGGCTGGTCCTGGGATGCAGTGTGGAAGCTGTTGGCTGCTTTGTGCAGGGTCTGGCCTCATAGCTGAAAGAAGCCTGGGAGGACCAATCTGGAGAGGAAGGTGTCCAGCTGGGAGGGAAGATGTGTCTCTACCCCATTCCCTGGGCTCTAGGTTGGGCCTCAGAGGTCAAATCCTGGAGTGACATTTCCCTAGAGACCCAGACAGCCCCAGGCCTGAGGCTTGGAGTTGCTCTGCATGTCCCTCTGTCCCTGGGCATTTGTTCTCCTGGCTGGAGCTGGCAGCTGCCTTGGTGCATGCGTATGGGCTGGTGGAAGGGGCTGGGGCTGTCAGTGCTGTGCCCATGGAGTTTGTGTGCAGGGCTTGGGCCTGCATGTAATACTTTTGCCCCCCCCCCCCCACAATG